ACAATAAACTACATTATTGTAATTCAGTCAAGTGTTCTGTTAATATGTGGTCCCAAGAGGGGCTCAAGGGAGGAATCTTCATCTCCAGGCACACCCAGTGCCGCTAATGTCCCATTGTCACAAAACCCATCCGATCGATCCGCTATTCCAATCGAGCATGTTCCATTCAGTGCGGCAGGCAATCCTAGTGCTGGAATTTCTTCAGGAAAACCCATGTGGGCACTTTTTGTGATTTCCGTGACCCGCCCATTCTCCACCAGCAGCACCCGGTCAGCATCAGCGATGGCTGCAGGCCGGTGTGCCACCAGAATCACCTGATGAGGGGAGAAATGAAGGGGGAATGAGAACGTGGAAGTCGGCCAATTTAGTAAGAGAGCAAAGACAGTGAGAATTTGGTGAGCGCACAGGGAAACGAGATTGTGATTTTCGTGACTTCGCCCATTCTCCCAGCAGCACCCGGTCAGCATCAGCAATGGCTGCAGGCCGGAGCGCCACCAGAATCACCTGATGAGGGCAGAAATGAAGGGGGGATGAGGAAGAAGTTAGAGAATGAGTTGGAGAATGATGGGGAGACTGAAGGAGTCAGCCTATCCAGCAAGGGAGAGAAGAAAACACAGTAGAAATCATATGAGAGCACACACAGAGAGATCTGTTTGTGCCCCCAGTGTAATTTTACCCAACTTTTGCGTAAGTTATTAACCTACCCCTTCTTCCCCACACCTGCGCCAGTCCCAGTCCCGCTCCCCAACTCTCCAACACAGCATCTCCTCCCACACCCCTCGCCTCTCCTCAGCTCCTCTCCCCCAACCCACTCCTCCACACATGCACCGTTCGGCCAACCATGGGGCAACACAGAGTGTTGACTCCCCCCATCCACCCCTTCCCTTTCCCCTCCCCCCTTTCTCCACCACACGCGCACCGTTCAACCGACCATGAGGCGACACAGAACATTGACTTCCCCCATCTCCCACCGTCTTTTCAACCCCAACCCTCCCTCCACCCCTCCCTCCACCCCTCCCTCCACCCTTCCCTCCACCCCTCCACCCACTCCTCCTACACACACGCACCGTTCGGCCGACCATGAGGCGGCGCAGAGCGTCGCGAACGAGAGCCTCTGATTGGCTGTCCAGTGCTGACGTGGCTTCATCCAGCACGAGGACGGCAGGGTCGTTGAAGATGGCTCGGGCGATGGCCAGCCTGGCAGAAATGGTGTTGGAACAGTGTGAGGTTCGGCATTAGGTTCGGTGACAGGCTTGGTGTGAGGTTCGAGTATGGATGCACCTCACAACTGGTTTTTTGCTGGTTTTAGAGCGGAGATATACACATGGAGACAACACATGCTGACTGAGGCACCTAAAGTGCTTGAGTAAAAACACAAGGAAAGGAAGCCAAAAGAAGGAAACTGAATCCTGGACATGCTAGGCGCCCGGAAACAACGAGAAAACAAGCGACACTTTGGAACAAGAACAACTTCTGTTTCGTACCTCTGCCTCTGCCCGCCACTGAGAGACGCCCCTCGCGGGCCCAGCTGGGTGAAGTAGCCTTCGGGCAGAGCAGAAATGAATTCATGTGCGTTGGCAAGGCGGGCAGCTCGCTCCACCATTGCCAAATTTGTTGCCTTTCCAGGCAGGTTGGAAGATTCCAAAGAGAGGTATTCCAGATGCCCGTATGCAATGTTTTGCGCCACCGTGCCCGAAAAAAGAACCTGAGACAAGTCAGGAAAAGAAGTGAGAAAAGAAGTGAGAAAAGGAGGGAAGGGAGAGAAGAGAAGGGAGAGGAGAGAGGGGAGAGGAGAGAAGGGGGACGGGAGAGAAGAGAGGGCAGAGAAGAGAGGGAAGAGGAGAGTGGAGAGGGGATGTGCAGGAGCAGATAGGCCGAGAAACTTCTTTCTTATCAGTTGCAGCACCCAGAAAAGAAGCCTCGTTATCTTCCTCCCCTTCCATTTGCACCGTCACTCCCAACCACCACCAAACCGGCACCCACCGTTTCCTGTGGCACGAAGCCAATCTGACGGCGCACACTGGTTGCAGAGCACGCTGCAAGATCTCGGCCGTCCAGCAGAATGCAGCCTGCCATACAGGGTACAAGTACAAGCCAAACCAAGCGGTCTAAGATTTGTTTCGTAGAGACCAATACGAGGGTATTACCGGCCAGCAGGGGGCAGCAGGAGCCAGCAGGGGCCAGTAGAGGTCAGCAGAGGCGAGCAGTTGATAGCAGAGCATAGCAGAAGCATAAACAGGGGGAATGGACACAGCAGAGGTGGTGATGGGTTATGAAAGAGCCATGAAACTCAATTTCCCACACTCTCCCACTCTCCATCTCACCTCACCGCACTGCACCATGCCACCTCACCTGCAGTGGGGCGGTACAGCCTGATCTTGTGACCTTACCGGACCCAACCCGACCAAACCCGACTCAATCCAACCCAGCCCAACCCGACCCGACCCGACCCGACCCAACCCGACCCGACCCGACTGGACCACACCTCCCCTCGGCTCTCCATGCAGCTCACCTGACCTTACACCTTCAGCATGTGACCTGACCGTACCTCACCTCACCTCACCTCACCTCACCTCACCTCACCTCACCTGCCCATGTGGCCTGACCTGCAGAGGGACGATAGAGCTTCAAGAGAAGCTTGAGCAGGGAGCTTTTGCCCCCTCCAGACGGGCCCACTACAGCCACCGTCTCGCCCCGCCTCACCCGGAACGACACGTCACACAACACACGGGACTTCAAACCTGAACCGGCTTCTGCGTCTGCTGCTGCTGCGGCTGCTGCTGGGGCTGGTGGGGCTGGTGGGGCTGGTGGGGCTGGTGGGGCTGGTGGGGCTGGTGGGATTACCTGCACTGCTGCTGCTGCAGGTAACGTGGCATCTCCTGCTACCGGTGCTTCTGATTGAGACCTGTCTTTTATCAGTGATCCCATTTCCATCGGTAAGCCATTGGCAGGGAGTTTTTGAGAATTCTCGGTAACATCGGTAACTCCCTGCAACATCGGTAAGCCATAGTCAAAACACACCCCTTGGAACTCAATGTCTCCCTCTAGCCTTCCAATGCCTTTTTCCACTTCTTGAAGGGTGGGGGAGGGGGAGGAGGAGGAGGGGGAGGGGGAGGAGGAGGAGGAGGAGGAGGAGGAGGAGGAGGAGGAGGAGGAGGAGGAGGAGGAGGAGGAGGAGGAGGAGGAGGAGGAGGAGGAGGAGGAGGAGGAGGAGGAGTGGGAAGCAGTGGAATGCGGTGGGTTCAAGCGTGTGAGGGCGAGCACGCGTTCAATGGCTGGCTGGCCCTGCTTCAGCTCGTTGAATGCAGTGCCTGCTGCCTGGGCGAGGGAGGAGAATAAGAAAGAGAATGGAAAAACGAGTAAGAGGGACAGAAAGAGTGGTGCGCAGGGGTTGAGTGGGGTAGGTACAACAAAGTGTGTCCGCACTTCTTCAATGGCTAACCGCCCCTGCTTCAGCTCGTTGAATGCTCTGCCCGCTGCCTGAGGGAGGGAGGGAAAAAAGAATAAACGGAGTGGTGAGAGGAAGTGGTGAGAGGAAGTGGTGAGAGGAAGTGGACTAGGGTAGTTTGCTTGAGAGTCTCTGTCAGCCCTCGTTTCATGGCTGGCTGGCTGGGCCTGCTTCAGCTCTATCTACGAACGCACTGCCTGCTTCAGCTCTATCTACGAACGCACTGCCTGCTTCAGCTCTATCTACGAACGCACTGCCTGCTTCAGCTCTATCTACGAACGCACTGCCTGCTTCAGCTCTATCTACGAACGCACTGCCTGCTTCAGCTCTATCTACGAACGCACTGCCTGCTTCAGCTCTATCTACGAACGCACTGCCTGCTTCAGCTCTATCTACGAACGCACTGCCTGCTTCAGCTCTATCTACGAACGCACTGCCTGCTTCAGCTCTATCTACGAACGCACTGCCTGCTTCCACCTCTTCATCTTCTCCCCAATTTCAGCACCCTGTCCCCAGACCAGGCCCAGGCAGGCCCTGAAAGCTCTCATTTCTCTGTACTTGAAAGTGGGTATCTCGGAACGGTCTCATTTGCACTCACCTGAATGGGTGGGGGTGAAGAAGGAGACAATCCTTCTCTGAACCCTGAATGGGTGGGGGTGAAGAAGGAGACAATCCTTCTCTAAATGTCGGAGATACAGCTCTACCCTCATCATCTGCCTTAGTCCTCATGCTCTTCGTCCCTTGGCTCCTTCGGTTGCCTCAGCCACTCTCATGAAAGTGTCAGAACTCTCACCTCTAAGGTCAGAACTCTCACCTCTAAGGTCAGAACTCTCACCTCTAAGGTCAGAACTCTCACCTCTAAGGTCAGAACTCTCACCTCTAAGGTCAGAACTCTCACCTCTAAGGTCAGAACTCTCACCTCTAAGGTCAGAACTCTCACCTCTAAGGTCAGAACTCTCACCTCTAAGGTCAGAACTCTCACCTCTAAGGTCAGAACTCTCACCTCTAAGGTCAGAACTCTCACCTCTAAGGTCAGAACTCTCACCTCTAAGGTCAGAACTCTCACCTCTAAGGTCAGAACTCTCACCTCTAAGGTCAGAACTCTCACCTCTAAGGTCCTCCCTGAGTGGTGTACCACCTGCCTGCTCTGGTAAGGTGACAATAGTCCACTATACGAAAGGATAACAGCCAGAAAGCATCAGACGTGTGTGTGAGAGTGAACTTACCTGACCCTGGCTCGAACCGTGCATTTCTCAATGTGCGGCTCGAGCCTGGGTTGGTTCGTTCTCATTGGTTGCAAGGTTTTCACCCAAGGTGCTCTCCTACCAACTTCGCGTCAATTTCCCAGCTCCCACCTACCTATCCTCGAATTTGCAAACACAACATAGCTACACCTCCACTACACCACCATGATTCTGGCACCTTATATGCACAACCGTGCATATTCGGTGACATCAACCCTGAATGGGTGGGGGTGAAGAAGGAGACAATCCTTCTCTAAACCCTGAATGGGTGGGGGTGAAGAAGGAGACAATCCTTCTCTAAACCCTGAATGGGTGGGGGTGGTGAAGGAGACAATCCTTCTCTAAACCCTGAATGTGTGGGGGTGAAGAAGGAGACAATCCTTCTCTAAACCCTGAATGGGTGGGGGTGAAGAAGGAGACAATCCTCCTCTAAACCCTGACTGGTGAAACCTCCCTGACCCGGTGACCCCTTCCCTATATCAGGCTCCGCACTTTCAGCCCAGAAAGTTCAGCCACTCACCCCCAGAACAGGCTCGGACTCTCTTCTTTTCACCTGAATGGGTTCGATGAGGAGAACAAGCGAGGTGAAGAAAGATACAATCCCGGCACCTGTTAGCCCGCCCGCCCTCCCTGCCCCACTGCCCACGTGGCCACTCCAAACAGCACCACCACCACCGCCGCCGCATACGCCGCTGTAATCGCCTCTGGAAACAGCGCCTTGAGAACTGCGCCACTTCGTCCCGATTTCAAATCTTCTCTCCTATTTCAGGCCCTGTGCTTTCAGCCGCGTACCTGAATGGACTCGATCAGTAGCACAAGGGATGTGAAGAAAGAGACGATCCCAGCCCCGGTAAGACCTAAACACGTCCCAGCCCCGGTAAGACCTAAACACGTCCCAGCCCCGGTAAGACCTAAACACGTCCCAGCCCCGGTAAGACCTAAACACGTCCCAGCCCCGGTAAGACCTAAACACGACCCAGCCCCGGTAAGACCTAAACACGTCCCAGCCCCGGTAAGACCTAAACACGTCCCAGCCCCGGTAAGACCTAAACACGTCCCAGCCCCGGTAAGACCTAAACACGTCCCAGCCCCGGTAAGACCTAAACTCGTCCCAGCCCCGGTAAGACCTAAACACGTCCCAGCCCCGGTAAGACCTAAACACGTCCCAGCCCCGGTAAGACCTAAACACGTCCCAGCCCCGGTAAGACCTAAACACGTCCCAGCCCCGGTAAGACCTAAACACGTCCCAGCCCCGGTAAGACCTAAACACGTCCCAGCCCCGGTAAGACCTAAACACGTCCCAGCCCCGGTAAGACCTAAACACGTCCCAGCCCTGGTAAGAGACGATCCCAGCCCCGGAAACTGCCCCACGGCCCACGTGGCCACTCCAAACAGCACCACCACTGCCGCCACCGCCGCATACGCTGCCGTGATCGCCTCTGGAGGGAAACAGCGCCTTGAGAGCCTCTTCTTGCCCATCCCAGTCCATCACCCCTGTTTCAGCTCATGCTCGAGCCACACCCCACTAGAAAAGGTTTTTGAGGCGCCTCAAAAATAGCCTCTTCTTGCCCATCCCAGTCCATCACCCCTGTTTCAGCTCATGCTCGAGCCACACCCCGCTAGAAAAGGTTTTTGAGGCGCCTCAAAAATAGCCTCTTCTTGCCCATCCCAGTCCATCACCCCTGTTTCAGCTCATGCTTGAGCCACACCCCACTAGAAAAGGCTCAGGTAAATAAACCCTACACACTCTCTTATACCTCACCTGAATGGGTTCGATGAGAAGAACAAGCGAGGTGAAGAAGGAGACGATCCCGGCACCCGTTAGCCCGCCCTGCCCCACTGCCCACGTGGCCACTCCAAACAGCACCACCACTGCCGCCGCATACGCCGCCGTGATCGCCTCGGGAAACAGCGCTTTCAGCCGCTTCTTTCGCAGTCGGGCGGACCTATCAGCTTCCGCCAGGTGGCGGAACAGGAGCGCCTCGTAGGGCTCGGCTGCGTGTGCCTTGACGAGCAGCATGGCTGGGAGGACCTCGGTGATCCGCGCTGAGAGGGCCGCGATGGACGCCTGCGCTTCTGAGGAGACAGAGCGAACTCTCTCCCCGAGTGTGGCAATGATGACTGACATGAGTGGGACCACCTGATGGGAGGGGTATGGAAGGGGGTCACAGAGACGAGCAGCATGGCCGGGAGGACCTCGGTGATCCGCGCTGAGAGGGCCGCCACAGAGGCCTGGGCTTCTGAGGAGACGCGGCGAACCCTCTCGCCGAGCGTGGCGCTGATGACTGACATGAGTGGGACGACCTGGTGTGAGGTTGGTGGGAGGGAAGAGAGGGAGGAAGAAGGAAGATCATTGCCACTGCTGTTTTGGAGTCACTTTTCAGAACTCTCAAAAGTGTTGCTGCTGCTGTTGCCACTGCTACTACCAATGCTACTACCACTGGCCCACATTACCAAATCCTACTGCTACTACTGTTACCACTGATACACTCCACGTCACCAAATGTTACTGTCACTGCTGTAATCTCTGGACCACGTGTCACCCACTCACACAAAGGGTCGCCAGCGTCATCACTGGGCTGAGCTGAACCATCCGCGTCAGCATGACTGCCACCTGGCAGACAGCTGGCACCGCCGCCTTGAGCACAGCAAACACCACCTCGCCCACCTCCCTCGCTTCTGCCGTCAACCTATACACCAGGTCCCCTGTTGCTACAGCCGATGGTGCTGTCGCTACTGCATCTCCTGGCACTGCTGCAGCCTCTCCTGTTGCACCTATTTCCGCCTCTTTATCCGCCTCCCTTCCCCCTCCTCTTCCCTTCCCACCTGCGCCCCCTCCTCCTCGCCCTCCTTCTCCCCCTCCGACCCGCCCACCTCCGCGCCCTTCAAAGAACCCCAGGTCCGCCCCCAGCAGGTGGTGCCACGCCTGGGAGCGAACGGCCAGAGTGACGCCGCTCGCGGCCTCCCACAGCCATGCGTCCTGCCAGTATGTCGCTGCTGACCGGGCTGCTACGAGTGCCAGCACCACACCTGTCGCACGGAAGAGCGCCTTAAGGTCGCCTGGTGGGTGGGGAGGGAGGACGGGGGAGATGTGGATGGAGGAGGGGGGTGTTGTGAGCAGCCGCCTCCCACAGCCACGCGTCCTGCCAGTACGTCGCTGCCGACTGGGCTGCTACCAGTAGCAGCGCGACACCTGTCGCATGGAAGAGCGCGCGGAGATCGCCTGGGGAACGGGGGGAAGAGGGGAGGGTAGCGGGAAGAACGAAGAAGGAAGGGGAAGTGAGGGCTGTGACGTTGCTGCAAGGATGAATGTGGGTGACCCGCTATAAGAGTGAATGCAGGTGACTCCTATAACTGTAAATGCAGGTGAACACCTACAAACATAATCACATCGAAAAAATACATTGAAAGATCATTTGGGAATTTAATTGGAAATCACCTTGGGGAATTAGATCGGAAATTCACCTGGGTAAATCACCTTGGGCAAGGAGGGTGGTGAGTGCGCAGAAGCGGGGGGTGAAGAGGAGCAGAGAGGTGAGTGCGACGGCGGTGGCACAGCCACGCCTTCTGAGGCACCTCAGAAGCCACCTCGGGAATTCACCTGAATAAAGTACCTTGGAAAATCATCTGGGTGGATTCCTTAGAAAATCACATGGGGTCACCTTGGGAATTCACCTTGAGCGAGGAGGGTGGTGAGCGCGCCGAAGCGGGGGATGAAGAGCAGCAGCGAGGTGAGTGCGACGGCGGTGCAGAGCCACGCACGGAGGACGAGGGGGAGGAAGGGGCGCAGGAAAGGAAGCAGGCCCATAAGGGGATGCTGGTGGGGGTGTTGGTGGTGCTGCTGCTGGTGTTGGTGGTGTTGCTGGTGGTGCTGCTGCTTCTGCTGCTTCTCGCCACTCCGCGTACCAGGTTCCGTTGCCGGTGCTACATCTCCGTCCTCGCTAAGTGACGATTCGTTACCAGAGCGACCATCGAACGAACTGGCTGCTCGTAACCTCGCAGAGTGTAACGACGCGTGTCTGATCGCATCTCCGCCGTCTGTCGTCCCCGTGAAAGTGCGAGACGCCCCCAATTCGGGTCGTCCCCATGACCCGTAAATGGAAACTCCTCCGGTCCTCGTCCCCGTTAAACAGAATTTGATATAAGACCGAAAATCCGAACGACTACTTCTATGGATAATACCATCTGAAGATGCTATCCTGGAATGCGCTTTCCAGTTTCGCTTGGTTTGCGAATATCTACAAATGGATGAACTGGAATTACACCAGGTAACAGGAGGCTGCCGCTGCGACATCAGCAAGTCTGTTCGCGAAGGAAAGCTTCGCCGAATTCGCCTAGAATGCTCTTCATCAGGACGTCCTAATGCCGTCGGGCCGTCACGGAACACCGTCACGCAGCCGCTAGTGCTAGCGGTTCCGGCGCGACTATGATTGAGCCTAGCGCAACTAAACCCGATTGTTAAGCGCTGACTTGAGATAAGCTCGGAGGCCATGCCTGGCTCGTAAACGCAAGCTTGTGTGTCTGGTGAGGTGGTGAAGGTATGACGACATGCATTGCTCTGTGCTCGTATCTCCTGAAGTCCGGAACGCGACCCTCGCTTGACAGGAAACAATGGCGGGAAAACGCAAAAACCTGACATACTCGCTGCTGCAGGTCCCAGTGTGTACAAAGTATAATTTCAAGCGCGCGCCAGTTACACAATGGATTTATATGCCATTTTAATCCATAGTGCTTACCTTACACCAATCCTGTTCCATTACCATCACCACCATGAACAAAAAACTACAAAATCATATTGGCGCTACCAGGCCACTCTCTGGAGGCTAGGGCTTGTAACACCGCTGCTGCTGTCCATTGTTTTGCCGCCTTTTTCGAGGGCATTGATCTACCTTCGACATGAACCACTGTCGAACCGTCACTTGCTTCAACCACACAATCCATGCAAAAGCTGCAATGTCAAAATAAATAAATAACAAGAATTAAGGAGGATAAGAAAACTCAGTAATTGGAAAACTAAGAGATACTGTGAACCCACTACAAGGTGGCTAAGGCATGAGAAGTTACATACCTGGGAGCGCCTGTGATCCCACCAGCAGGTTGACAGCTGGCACCACCAGCCGCCTCCCCACCACCACAAGCAGCAAGGCTGGTAGAGCCACCAACGGTGGAATCACCACCGTTGATTACACCACCATCGGCAGATCCACCACCGTCCACTGGGACGTCCCCCACAACTGTGTCAGCAGCAGCAGGGGCATTCCCAGTAGTGCCCCCACCTTGTGCCAATCCGTTACTGCCTAAGGCAGCCTCGGTGTGAGCAGTTGGAGATATGATTCTCTCACTGTACACTGCCGTCCATCGCCGCGCCATGCACGTGTGATTCAGGGCAGATATAGCCGCCGGACCTGGCTCACAGCCTCGGGGTCCAACCAAGGCGTCTGGAGCAGCCGAACCTACTGTAATCTCCCTTCCCAGTGCTGCATCGTCTCTGGTTGCTGCTACGAGTGCAGCTTCTGCTGCTGCCAACCCTTTTCCAGACTTCCCCCGCTTCCTCTTCTTCCCTCCAGCCTTCTTCTGCCCACCATTACAATCACTATTTCCTCCAATCATCAAGCCACCCTCAGGCCGAACTTCCTCCGTACCTGCTGCACCTTCTCCTCCCGCTCCCTCCTTCCCTACTTCACCCTCCTTTCCTCCCGCCTCGCCTTCCTCTGCCTGCGTCTCCCATGTGGCCCTCATGGCCCCCAGCACGCGCATCCCCTCTGCCTCCTGGAACAGCTGCCTGAAGCCCTGTACAGTCTGGGGAGGGGGTGAGGGGGAGGGAGAGGGGAGAGGGGAGAGGGTAGGCAGAGAGACATGGGAAGAGCAGTGAGTTCGAAGGGCCTCACAGCCCCCAGCTCGCACACTCGCATAGTCACACCCCTCTCTGCCTCCTGGTACAGTCACTCACATCTCCAGCAGCTATTCCGCCGCTGCTCATATATAGTCACACTCACAGCTCACTTCTTCACATTCCCAGACAGCATTACGATCACCTCGGTGCATCAGATTCGCCTTCGCTGTTGAGTCGACTCAAAAGCGATCACCTCGGAGCATCGAACTCACCTTCACCTTCTGAGCAGTCTCAACATTCCACTGCCCATATGAACTCCCACCTCGTTGATCTCACAGCATTAAAAATCACATTACTGCATGCATCCCACTCACTCACCTTGGCCCTCTTCAGCACGCCACAAGCTGCTTCCACCGTTGCTGCTACGTCATCCACCCCCCACCCCTCCCTCCCAACCACTCCTCTCTCCTCTACTTCCATCACCACCCCCTCCTCCCCCTCCCCCTCACTGCCACGCGCTTTTCAATTCAATCACACCATTAGACTCACCTTGGCCGTCTTCAGCACGCCACCAGCTGCTTCCACCGTTGCTGCAACATCATCTACCCCCCACCCCTCCCCCAGCACCACTCCCCTCACCTCCACTTCCATTACCACCCCCTCCTCCTCTCCCGCCCCTCCTCCGCCTCCTCTTCCCCCCACGTCCTTTTCACACAGCCCATTTTCCACTCCCTCCTCCCCCTCCTCCCCCTTCTCCCCCTCCTCCCCCTTCTCCCCTCCTCTCCTCCCAACACTGCTCCCACACACCATCCCTCCGTCCCTCCCACTCTCCTCGTCCTTCCACGCCCCAGCCCCTTCCCCTTCCCCTTCCCCTTCCTCCCCTTTTCCCCACTCCCCCCCACACTCCTCCCCCCACCTCTCCCCCCAGTTTCCCCCCCACTGCTCCCCCCCTCCCTCGCCCCCCTGCGCCCTGGGCAGGTAGATGGGGGCGGGGAGGGCGAGGGCGCAGCAGAAGAGGAGCAGGGCGGAGGGCGGGTGGAGGGAGAGGGGATGCAGCAGGGGGATGGGGCAGAGCCAAGAGGAAACCACGTGCCACGTGCGGGCGAGAGGGCATTGGGGATGGAGAGGGGGAGGTGCAAGGGGGTTGAGTGCGGTGAGAGAGCTGTTTGCAGGAGTGGAGTCGAGGAAGACAGCTGCTGTGAGGGCCTTGATGAGATCAGAGACGTCCTGATGGGGGGGAGAACGGACGGGAGAGAAGAGCCGAGAGAGGAAAGCGGAGAGATAAAAGTATAGATGAAGGGAGTTGTACGGAAAGAGGGAGTGAGGACTGCTGCGGTGAGGGCCTTGATGAGATCAGAGACGTCCTGATGGGGGGGAGGAAGGGGGGGACGAGGAGGGGGGCAAGGAGGGGAGAAGGGAAGAGGGAAAGCAAGTAGAGGAAGGAAATCAAAATGCTGAAATGAGGCAGCTTATGGTATTACAGACAGTTCCGAAACCATTTTAGGGTTACATGTGGTTACACGACATGGTCATATGGTTATAGGCTTATAGCGCACGCGGCTACACTACATGGTTACACGGTTATATGGTTACAGAGTTATAGGGTTACTTAGTGGGAAGAAGTTACTTTGGGAAACGGCTTCTGCCCTCCATCATCCTCGTCATCTTTCTCGTCAACCTCCATGCCCTCCCAATGACTTCTTACGCCATCCAGGCGAATGTTAGCGGGAGCAGAGCCGATGGGAGCAGGATTTAATGAAGTAGAACCCAGGTGAGTGGAGTCCGTGTGAGCAGGATTCATGTGACTGGAACCACTGGCATCTACCCTTTCATTCGTCCCCTCCTCTATCCTCTGCCCCACCCCCCCAACCTCCTCAACACTCCTCTCCTGTGCAGCCGTTTCAGCCAATTCAGCAGCATCAGCAGCAGCCGTAGTAACAGCTGCCCTATCTGCAGCAGCCCTATCAGCAGCAGCCTTTGCCGCCCGCTGTATCTTGCACACCAATCGCAGCAGCCCACGGCACGCTGCCAGCTGGCAGAACCGCTCCGAGTGGATCACAGCCTTGCGCAGGTTCGTCAGCTGGTGCGGGGACGGCCGGGCGGCGTGCGATGACGTGGCAGCGTGCGATGACATGGCACGTGGTGACGAGGCAGCAGGAGAATGGGCCGCCCCAGATGTTGCTTGCACCATGTGGTGCATGACTAGAAAGTCCAGCACAGCTTCCCCCAGAAACACAAACCGCCTCTGCCACTTCAACTCCCCCTCGCTTATCGCCTCCCTCAGTATCCCCTCATTTCTGAATCGATACCCCATCGCACCTTCCAGCTCTGACAGCCTATCAGGTGTTGCCACGTGGCGTTTGCAGTTCGTTCTGGTAACAGAAGGTTTCAGGAAGCCGGGCTGGCGTATCGGCTGACCTGTCGGTGCGTTGTCGGATGGAGGTGAGATAGGTGGGAGAGATTGCTGCTGACAGAGAGAGACAGGCAATGAGGATTCTGAAACCAGTACGCCCTGCCGCTGCTCATGCAGCTTGGTGCGCTTCTCTGGTGGCTGAAATGGCAGCAGGGGCGCCTCTCCAGGTGATTCCAGAGCGTGCTTCCTGCCACTCACCCTTTGCTCTGACTCTCGTGCTGCCGCCACTTTTTCTGCCACTGCTGCTGTTCCCTCTTCTTCTTCTTCTTCTTCTTCTGCTGCTGCTGCTGCTCCTTTCGTTTCTAGTGCCATATCTGGCTTTCCTACAACGCCTGGTACTCCTTCCTCTGCCACTCCCTTGATGCATCCCTCCACCACGTCCTCCCCCTTTCCCATCACCATTCCCTCCGCCGCTCTCCCCCTCCACGTCATCTCTCCCCTCAATAGCTCCCCCACGCCCTCCGTGGGCAGGCCCAGCCACCTCAGCATCGGCAGCGCCATTTCAGCGCCGCCGCACCGCCAGCTGGCGCCCACCAAGGCCTCCGCCACGTCAGCGAGGGTTTTCTTGCCGAGCTGGCGCGCTGACTTGGCCGTGGCTGCTGCCTGCGCTAATGCCAGCGAGGCGAAGGCAGAGTCCAAAAGGGCTTTCGGGCTAGGCGGAAGGTTCTGGGAAGCTGCAGTAGCCCGAGAGGGGGACGAAGGAGGAGATGCTGTTGCTTGTGACTGAGTGTGTGCGAGGGAGTCTGAAAGCGAGTGTGGTGGGGGGAGTGAGTGAGAAAGGGAGTCAGCCAGAAGCAGCACAGCGTGGGAGGGTGGGATGAGAGGGCCGATCCAGTCAGAGGGTCTGAATGGCTTGCTGCGGACGAGGGCAGGCACTCCGGCTTTAACTGCCAGCGCTGCCAGATGCTTGTTGGATACCAGCTTCACGCACTGCCCCTTCATGTCATCGTATGTCGGCTGGGTAGGCTGGCTGTGCAGCGCATGCGATGGCATCGAGGCATTTCTCGCAGTGTATGCTGCTGAGTCGTCGTTCCCATTACTCTGGCCATTCCCATGCCTGCCATGCGGCGGCTGACGTGGCAAGCTAGTGGCAGAAAGGTGGCAGGAGGCGGCTAGCTGCACGCAGCTGTCTCCCAGCACCTCGTCTGACTCATAGGTGCCCACACCGCTCTCTGTTGTGCCGGGGCAGGTGAGGGCGCGCAGGAGCTGAGGTGTGGGGCCGAAAGGAAGGGAGGGAAGATGCATTGGCGGGTGAATGGGGTTGGGAGGGAGCGAGCGGCGAGCTGCACACAGCTGTCACCCAGCACTTTGTCACTCTCGTATGTGCCCACACCGCTCTCCGTGGTGCCGGGGCATGTCAGGGCGCGCAGCAGCTGAAGACAGGGGTGGGAGAGGGTGGGGTGTCGGTGGATGGAGAGGGGTGTTTGAGTTGAGAGGCACTGAGCTGCACGCAGCTGTCACCCGGCACTGCGTCACTCTCGTACATGCCTACGCCGCTCTCTGTTGTGCCGGGGCATGTCTGGGCGCGCAGCAGCTGAGAGGGGAATGGGGTACAGGGGTACAGGGTGCGGTGTGAGTGGGTGGACAATGGTGGTTGAGAGGCATTGACGGCAGCACTCAGCTGCACGCAGCTGTCACCCAGCACGCACTCTCACACGTCCGTCCCAACGCCTTTTGAGGCGCCTCAAAAGTCGTTTCATTACCCGCGATTCTTATATTGATCGAATTTTTGTTGGTTGGAAGTGTGCACGAAATGTGCAACAGTGCCTGGTTCGCGCGAGGCTCCTACACCACCCAACTCCAAGACTGCCGAAGAGGCATTGACGGCAGCACTCAGCTGCACGCAGCTGTCACCCAGCACGCACTCTCACACGTCCCAACGCCGCTCTCCGTAGTGCCGGGGCAGGTGAGGGTGCGCAGCAGCTGAGACAGGCGGAAGAGGGGCGGGGGGGTGCAGTGCAGTGCAGTGCAGCGCAGTGCAGTGCAGTGCAGTGCAGTACAGTGCAGTGCAGTGCAGCGCAGCGCAGTAGCTGAGACAGGGGGAAGATGGGCGGGGGGGTGCAGTGCAGTGCAGTGCAGTGGTGCGACTCACATCAATAGCAGGAAAATGCGGTTCCTGCTGCTGCTGACCCTCCCTGTGCTCGCCACCACCACAGCTCCGACCCTGCCGCTCACACCCATACTGCCGCACAATGAACCGCCGGATGTCCCGGGCAGTGAGCAGGCAGTCAAGCCGGGAGAGCAGAGAGGGGAGCAGCGAGGCAAAGAGCACGTGCTGCAGTGGCAGCACCGGCACCAGTAGCTCCAATGGGAGGTACGATGTTTGCCGCCCCCTGCCCTTCTCCCTGCCCTGCTGCTGCGCCTTAGCTGCCTCCTCCTGCCCCGTGCCTTGTTGCTGCTGCTGCTCTTTCTCTGCTGTAGTATTGTCTATTGCAACCGAGTTTGCTGCAGCCGTGTCTGCTACAGCCTCAACTTCTGCAGCCTCATTAGCCAGAGCCTTGTCTGCTACAAAAGTGTCTGCTCCAACCGTCTCTTCTCCAGCCTTGCCCACTACAGCCATGTCAGCTACAGCCATGTCAGCTACAGCCATGTCAGCTACAGCCATGTCAGCTACAGCCATGTCTGCTACAGCCATGTCTGCTACAGCCATGTCTGCTACAGCCATGTCTGCTACAGCCATGTCAGCTACAGCCATGTCAGCTACAGCCATGTCAGCTACAGCCATGTCTGCTACAGCCATGTCTGCTACAGCCATGTCTGCTACAGCCATGTCTGCTACAGCCATGTCAGCTACAGCCGTCCCCTCTGTAGCGCTGGCAGGTTCGGACATCTGCCCGTCTCGACTGAATTGGACGGCCCTGTTGACGAGGTCCCAAGTGTCCACTGAGGTGGGGGAAAGGGAAGCGGGTGATGTAAGGGAAAGGAGGGTGGGACGATGGAAAGGAGGGTGGGACGATGGAAAGGAGGGTGGGACGATGGAAAGGAGGGTGGGACGATGGAAAGGAGGGTGGGACGATGGAAAGGAGGGTGGGACGATGGAAAGGAGGGTGGGACGATGGAAAGGAGGGTGGGACGATGGAAAGGAGGGTAGGAGGGTGGACGATGGAAAGGAGGGTGGGACGATGGAAAGGAGGGTGGGACGATGGAAAGGAGGGTGGGACGATGGAAAGGAGGGTGGGACGATGGAAAGGAGGGTGGGACGATGGAAAGGAGGGTGGGACGATGGAAAGGAGGGTGAGACGATGGAAAGGAGGGTGGGACGATGGAAAGGAGGGTGGGACGATGGAAAGGAGGGTGGGACGATGGAAAGGAGGGTGGGACGATGGAAAGGAGGGTGGGACGATGGAAAGGAGGGTGGGACGATGGAAAGGAGGGTGGGACGATGGAAAGGAGGGTGGGACGATGGAAAGGAGGGTGGGACGATGGAAAGGAGGGTGGGACGATGGAAAGGAGGGTGGGACGATGGAAAGGAGGGTGGGACGATGGAAAGGAGGGTGGGACGATGGAAAGGAGGGTGGGACGATGGAAAGGAGGGAGGGACGATGGAAAGGAGGGTGGGACGATGGAAAGGAGGGTGGGACGATGGAAAGGAGGGTGGGACAATGGAAAGGAGGGTGGGACGATGGAAAGGAGGGTGGGACGATGGAAAGGAGGGTGGGACGATGGAAAGGAGGGTGGGACGATGGAAAGGAGGGTAGGACGATGGAAAGGAGGGTGGGACGATGGAAAGGAGGGTGGGACGATGGAAAGGAGGGTGGGACGATGGAAAGGAGGGTGGGACGATGGAAAGGAGGGTGGGACGATGGAAAGGAGGGTGGGACGATGGAAAGGAGGGTGGGACGATGGAAAGGAGGGTGGGACGATGGAAAGGAGGGTGGGACGATGGAAAGGAGGGTGGGACGATGGAAAGGAGGGTGGGACGATGGAAAGGAGGGTGGGACGATGGAAAGGAGGGTGGGACGATGGAAAGGAGGGTGGGACGATGGAAAGGAGGGTGGGACGATGGAAAGGAGGGTGGGACGATGGAAAGGAGGGTGGGACGATGGAAAGGAGGGTGGGACGATGGAAAGGAGGGTGGGACGATGGAAAGGAGGGTGGGACGATGGAAAGGAGGGTGGGACGATGGAAAGGAGGGTGGGACGATGGAAAGGAGGGTGGGACGATGGAAAGGAGGGTGGGACGATGGAAAGGAGGGTAGGACGATGGAAAGGAGGGTGGGACGATGGAAAGGAGGGTGGGACGATGGAAAGGAGGGTGGGACGATGGAAAGGAGGGTGGGACGATGGAAAGGAGGGTGGGACGATGGAAAGGAGGGTGGGACGATGGAAAGGAGGGTTGGACGATGGAAAGGAGGGTGGGACGATGGACAGGAGATGAGCGGCGAAGGGCGAAGTGCCTCAAAAGTCGTGAGACCGCCCTAATTGGACAGCCCTGTTGACGCGATCTAGAGTGTCCACTACCTATGGAAGAACATGCAAGCACGGACAGGACGACTGGTACACATATAGACCGGCTTAAGGAGGGTGAGAAACTCCTCCTGGTGCAGACACAGGAGGGTGAGAAACTCCTCCTGGTGCAGACACAGGAGGGTGAGAAACTCCTCCTGGTGCAGACACAGGAGGGTGAGAAACTCCTCCTGGTGCAGACACAGGAGGGTGAGAAACTCCTCCTGGTGCAGACACAGGAGGGTGAGAAACTCCTCCTGGTGCAGACACAGGAGGGTGAGAAACTCCTCCTGGTGCAGACACAGGAGGGTGAGAAACTCCTCCTGGTGCAGACACAGGAGAGTGAAACTTACACTCTGGTGGTGTCTGCAGCAGCAGCAGCGCATTGCGCAGGTCTGGCTTCAGCTGACAGGCAGCGAACAGGGGCTGATTGGGGTGCTGCAGCGATATGCCGTACCTGGAAAGGGGGTACGGGACGGGGTGACTCTTAGGGTTAGTTGAGTCGGAACTCAGGACCTTGGCATCCCACCCAAGGCTTCCTTTTGGTATACAATTGTGGTGTTTGTGAACTTAAGTCTCGCATCGCAGTTCGTGCCTGCAGCATGGATCGGGACAGCAAAGAAATACACGGCACCTGGCCAAGCCAACGCTTGGGTGCACTTGCCAGTTGCTGATTGGGCAATGAGAGATGATAGAGGGGCATGCAAGGCATGATCGAGGGATGGGACGAACGTGCACTCACTGGTTATGGAAGTACTGTTGGAACGTGCCTCCATGCGACCCCACAAACTCACTGTGCGCTGTTCTCCCCTCAGGGTCCCTCCCCACTAGCTGGTACAGCTAACGCACATGCACCCGCCACTCCCTCACTCGCATACCCACCATGCCATACCATGCCACGCCATGCAAAGCTGACACCCAGGAGGACACCATGCACGCGCTGGTTAATCACTGACTCTGACGCTCGCTCCTTAAGGATATGAAAGAATCGCACTCACTGGTTGTGGAAGTACTGTTGGAAAGTGCCTCCATGCGGCCCCACGAAATCACTGCGTGCTGTCCTCCCTTCCGGATCCCTCCCCACTAACTGGTACACCAGACGCGAATGCACCGCACATGCCACCATGCCGTGCAGTTCTCGTTCCTCCACAGGCCCACGAGCACAGACGAGCAGAGGCATGGTAGCAGGGGCATCCTGAGCGGTGCCTGGAACAGCAGCATTGGTATCAGCAGCAGCGGCATTGGTATCAGCAGCAGCGGCATTGGTATCAGCAGCAGTAGCATTGGTATCAGCGGCAGCAGCACTAGTGTCGGCAGCAGCAGCAGCAGCAGCAGCAGCAGCAGCAGCAGCAGCAGCAGCGCGACGAGCAGGATCAATATCAGCAGCAGCATCACGTGCACGGGCACGAGAGGCCGCTCCCCTGTTGCCTCCCAGAGACACCACCCGGTCCACCATCTCCCAGTCAACCCTCCCCATCAACACGCGCATCATATCATCATCCCCTCCCCTGCTCATGCCGTCACCCCCTCCCCCCTGCTCCCCTGCATCCACCCCTTCACCTTCCCTGCCTGCATTCGCCCCTCTCCCTCCTTCCCTCCTTCTTCCATCTGCCTCTCTCCAATCTTCCGCTGTCTCTCCTCCTCTTTCTTCCCCTCCCCTCACCAAGCAGGGCAGCACGAGGCAGTAGTGGGATGCGGTCCAGAAGGCGCCAAAGGGGCGCACAGCGGTGCTGATGGGCGTGGGAGGCACGGACGGTGCTGCAGGAGAAGCAGCAGCCGCAGCATGAGCCTCAGCTGCAGCCCCTGCAGCGGCAGATTCAGAAGCAGCGGCAGAAGCGGCAGCGTGGGCGAGGGTGGGAGCATGGTGCATGAGGTCCCATCGGTCCAACGCCATGCCGAACAGACGCATGTGGTAGCACATGGCGCTGGCCAGCTGAGGAGCAGAGGGAGAAGGGGGAGAAGGGGGGGTGCAGGTGGGTGTAGAGCTCATGACGCATTCTGACACCTGCATGAGCTGAACCTGAACCATCTGAATCACCTGAACCATCTGAATCACCTGAACCATCTGAATCACCTGAACCATCTGAATCACCTGAACCATCTCAATCGCCTGAACCATCTCAATCGCCTGAACCACCTGAATCACCTGAATGGTATGAACACAACTGACCTGCTGAGGCGAGAAAGCGAGGGCTCCAAGTGGAGAGAGTCGGACCGATCCCGAAGCAACTGCAAGGGGTTGCGATGCTGGGTGGTGGAGTAACCCAGGTGAGGGGCCGGCAGAGGGAACACCAGCAGTAAGAGCAGCAGCAGCAGCGCCAGTAGTAGCAGCAGCATCAGCAGCAGCAGCAGTCACGGCAGCAGCAGATCCTGAAGCTGTAGCAGCTAACCCCACATCTGTAACCGTTTGCCTTGCATCTGTAGCAGCAGTGCAAGCTCCGAAATACTTGGAGCAAAGAGGGACTTCCATGTGTGCCACGTCAGCATCAAACGGGCCAATGGCAGGCGACGTCAGCAGCATGAACCCGGAAAAGCACTCTGTGCTGCACGTCCCCTTACTAGCATCTTCACTACCGGAGCTCGAGGAGGAGGAGAAGAAACGGAGAGAATACGCATGGAAGGGACCGATACTGGGACATGCTGGGGTGGTAGATTTGGCTGCTGCTGATGGTTCATCTGCTGCTGCTGCTGCCGATGTCGCTGCAGTTTGTAGTAAATCATTTGCTGACAGTGCTGCTCTTTCTGCTGGAATGGGTACTGCCGGTGACCTGGCTTCTGGCGTTGCACGGTCCGCCATATGTGGAGACAAGATTCACAGAAACGGCGGGTTGAACCTCGCTCGATGACGACGCGGTGAACTCTAGGGACTTTGGAGATCTAGAATATTAGGAAGAATCAGCTCAACCGCAATCTGCATTTTGAGGCGCCTAAAAAAGAAACAGCTCATCCCCAAAGCGCAATTTGCAGCGAAGGCTAACTTATGCTCCGTCTAATCAGCTGCAACGCGTCAGCTGCCGTCGGCGGCCGTGTAGCTTTCCGTGTGTTAGCGTGGCTCATTCGAGCTGCGTATCCAATCGCGCGCGAAACAGCGACAATGGCGGACGACAACGATGGAGGTCGAGCGTAGATTTGCATTTCGAAGTGAATAATAATGATGCTGAGGTGAGGTACCTTGGAGCTTGGCTGTTCGGCGATAATCGCCAAACGCCGCCTCATCCTGGTTTCCTTGCTTTCGCGCAGACCAACAGACCAGCGATTGGAGGAGGTACGTTCTGATTGGGTGATTTGCACCAACAAACAAGTCTGTCAGCTGTTTGTTTCCATCGGGATCGGTTTGCACCGGTTTGGGGCAAATACGAAAGGTGCCAGGCGAAGCGCAGTGTGCTGCGCGGAGCGGAATGCACAGTGTGACCTCGCCTCAAGACAACCCAGTTGCACAGAACTATGCTGAAAAGAAAACTAAAGATCCAAAAGCTGTACCTTCTCCCAAGTTATGCTAGTGCAATCTACACATGACACCACCACACATGAAGCACGTGTCTTTCTCCCTCCTCCCTTCCCTCGCGCCTCCCCACTTGCAGCATGGCATTCGAGTTGACTAGAAGTAATCCCGCCTGTGCATGATGCGCATGGGCTCTACCTCTCTCCAGCGTGCTTTTCTCCCTCCACTTCCCTCTCTCCACCCTCTCGCTTCCCTACTTGCAGCACACCATTCGAGTTGACTAGAAGTAATCCCGCCTGTGCATGATGCGCATAGGCACTACCACAAAGGTAGGGCGTGCTTTTCTCCCTCCACTTCTCCCTCGCGCTTCCCCACTTCCTGGAGCTTCCAACCCGCTTGGAAGTTCAGCTGCTGCAAGCCGCCCGTGAATCTGCTTTTGAGGCGCCTCAAAACTCGCTCCTCTCCTCCCCCCTGCTTCCCCACTTCCAGAAGCTTCCAACCCGCTTGGAGAATCAGCTGCTGCAAGCCGCGCGTGAATCTGGTCGCAACTCATGCTCTTTACAGGGAGCTTACTGAGAGGAAGATTCCAGGAAGGCCTGGAAGGATGATTTTTTGAGATCATGCGAGGCGTGAGTGGGGAACCAAGCGGGGAAGCACGGGAAGAGAGCGAAAGTGCAGCAGCAGCTACAGCAGCACCAACAGCAGAAGTACCAGCAGCAGAAGCACCAGCAGCACCAGCAGTAGCAGCAGCAGCACCTGCTGAGGCTGTTGTTCCTTGACTAGCCTCCGCAGGTTCGCCAGCGATCTTATCGAAGATACACCCTGCCGGCCTGCGAATGGCACCTGCAGCCGCAGCAGGCGGAGCAGCAGCAGCACCTGCAGCCGCAGCAGCAGGGGCAGCCGCAGCACCTGCAGCCGCAGCAGCAGGGGCAGCCGCAGCACCTGCAGCCGCAGCAGCAGCAGCAGCAGCAGCACGGAACGTGGAAGTTTGTAGCAAGCTTGAGGTGTCAAGGAACGTGGAAGTTTGGAGCAGGCTTGTGGTGGTGTTCACACCAGAACGGAAGCCAGCAGAGCGGCGAATGTCCGCATGCCACGATGCCCTTCGTCTCATGAACCGGTAACCGCCACCTCCCGGTGATCTAGCCCCCCCTCCTCCCGGTGATTTAGAGGCAGACGGGCTATCCGGGTCAATACTCCAGGACACCCGCTTGCCAGCACTTGGAGAAGCTGCGGTGGTGCTGGCTGATTTGAGGCTGGAGCGGCGACCAGAAGGGGATAGAGTTTTACTGCTGAGAATTCTCAAAAGTGAGTCTGACGATGCTGCAGTGGTGCTGGCTGATTTCAGATTAGAAACGCGAGCAGAGGGGGATAGGGTGCCTGAAAATGACTCATGAACTCTCAAAAGTGAGTCGGACGAAGCTGCAATGGCGCTGGCTGATTTCAGGTTAGAAAGGCGAGCAGAGGGGAAGCCGAATCCGGGAGAAGAAGCTGCAGAGGTAGCAGGTGATTTTAGGCTGGAGCGAGGAGCAGACGGGGACGAGGGAGTGAGAGGGGATTGGGATGAGGGAGAGAGAGGAGCGGATCGAGATGAGGGGGTGACAGGAGGGGATAGAGAAGGAAGGTGTGACTTGAGACTCAGCCCAGAAGGAGAGTGACAGGTGCTGGGAGGAGAGGAATGGGCTGGGTGCGTAAAACGCCCTGCTACGGTTCCTGCTACAGTCTCCGCTACAGTTCCTGCTACCTGTTCTGCCACAGCATGCCCATTCTCAGTAACACCAGAAGCCGTGGCTGTAGCTGCTGCTTCTTCTTCTGCTGCCGCCGCTGCAATTTTATCAGCAGAGACAGCAAGCCGGCCAGCAGACTCAGAGCTGTGATGTCCGTCCTTGTGGTGCTTCACCAGTGAGACAAGGTCGTGAATGTGAAGCCAGTCTCTACTCGAAGCAGAGCCGTGATGGCTGTGGCCGTGCTTGTGAAACAAGTCCTTCAAGTCGTGATGACTGTGGTGCCAGTCCGTGTGGTGTTTCACCATTGAAACAAAGTCGTTAATGTGGAGCCAGTTGTGACTGTGGTGCCCGTCCTTGTGCTTCATTATCGCAGCAGCATCGTGACTGTCTTTGTGACTGTCTTTGTGACTGTCTGTGTGACTGTCTGTGTGACTGTGAAGCCAGTGTTTAAAGTCATGACCGTGATGCCCGTCCGTGTGGTGTTTCACCATTGAAACGAAGTCGTGAATGTGAAGCCAGTCGTGACTGTGATGCCCGTCCTTGTGCTTCGCCATCGAAGCAGCGTCGTCGTGACTGTCCTTGTGACCGTGAAGGAAGTGTTTGAAGTCGTGCTTGTGAAGCCAGTCTTTAAAGTCGTGATGACTGTGGTGCCAGTCCTTGTGGTGCTTCATCATCGAAATGAAGTCGTGAATGTGAAGCCAGTCTGTCATTGAAGCAAAGTCATGGCTGTGGTCGTGCTTTGCAGCTCCACCTTTAACCCCTCCTCCTTCTCCCTTTCCCCCTCCCCCTGCTCCTTTTCCTCCTCCTCCCCTTCCACCCCCTCCTCCTCCTGCATTCCCTCCCATTCTACCAGACACCAACCCCGGAAGCCCATAGCTCTCGGGAGGAGCAATCAGCCTCCACACGCCTGTGTTGCTGAGATTCGATTCAGATCTGCTTGGGCGGATTTGATACGCCGCTGACTTTTGAGTCGACTCAAAAGTCGCCCGACTGGAACCCGCGGCCTTGAACGGTAGCGGAGCGGCCTTAGACGGTAACGAATCTGACTGAGATGAGGATGAAGACGAGGGACGGTCGGAGCTCGAATGCAGAGCAGATGGAGATTGCAAAGGAGAGGAAGAGGGAGACAAAGCAGGAGAGGAAGAGGGGGAAGAAGAGGGAGAGGAAGGAAAGGACCAAGAGGGAACCGGCAGAGCATTGGAGGAGCGGGATGCTCCTCTTGGTTGAACACCTTCAGGGCTGTGGAAAATCCTATCCTGCTGCTCCTCTTGCTGCTGCTGCCGCTGTTTCTCAGGCAGGTGCGAGCCGCAATGGCGTTTTTTTGGGCAGGTGCAAACTGTCATGATGTTTCTCAGGCAGGTGAGAGCTGTCATGGTGTTTCTCGGGCAGGTGCGAACTGTCATGATGTTTCTCGGGCAGGTGAGAGCTGCTGTGGTGTTTTTTGAACAGGTGCAAGCCGCCATGGTGTTTCTCGGGCAGATGCGAGCTGTCGTGATCTTTCTCGGGCAGGTGCGAGCTGCCATGGTGTTTCTCGGGCAGGTGAGAGCTGCTGTGGTGTTTCTTGAACAGGTGCAAGCTGCCATGATGTTTCTCGGGCAGATGCGAGCTGTCATGATCATTCTCAGGCAGGTGCGAGCTGCCATGGTGTTTCTCGGGCAGGTGAGAGCTGCTGTGGTGTTTCTTGAACAGGTGCAAGCCGCCATGGTGTTTCTCGGGCAGATGCGAGCTGTCATGATCATTCTCGGGCAGGCGCGAGCTGCTGTGGTGTTTCTTAAACAAGTGCAATCCACCATGGTGCTTCTCGGGCAGGTGCGAGCTGTCATGGTGTCTCTTGAACAGGTGCAACATCCCATGATGTTTCTCGGGCAGATGTGAACTGCCATGATGTTTCTCAGGCAGGTGCGAGTTGCCATGGTGTTTCTCGGGCAGGTGCGAGCTCTCGAGGTGTTTCTCCGTGCGTTTGAGAACGGGCCTGCGCAGAGTGGCACAGAGGATCCGCCACGTGCTGTGAGCATGCAGCACCGTCTGCTCCGCTTCCTTTGCTTGCTCCGCCTGCTCTGCTTCCCTCGCTTGCCTTGCTGCCTGCTCCGCTCGCTCTGCTTCGTCTTCTTCCCGCGCTGACATTCCCCATTCCTCTGCTCCTAGCTTCACGTGTCTGATCATCGAACCTCGACCGTCCATTCGTGAGATTCGGATCAGGGTTCCTCCTCCGCTTCTGCCGCCCCACGCTTCCCTCTCCTGGCCCTTAGATCTTGAGTCTTGATCATCCGATTTTCTTCCCCCCGCCTCCACTGCTTCCACGGGCGAGGGAGAGGGGGAGGCGCCGAAGCAGGGACTGGGGGAGCGACCTGCGGGGACGCGGGACACCCGGTAGTGGAAGAGGGGGAGGGAGAGGAGAGGGAGTAAGAGAAGAGCGGGAGGAAAGGTGGGGAAATGGGAGGGGGAGAAGAGGAGAAGGGGATAGGGGAGAAGGGGAAGGGGGTTTAGTTTGATTTTTTTCTCTGTAAACGGTGGGAACTTTCAAGGAGTCTTCAATTTTCGTTTATCTGTATATCGCAATTATTCAGTGGACAAGAGCGCACAAAGTGTCGAGCGAGGAGAAACGCGGGAAGAAATAAATGCGCTAGTAACGAACAAGGAGGGAATACGGAGGGAAAGGAGAGCAAGGAGGGGGCTGCGCGGCAAAGATGTAGGATCGAGATATGGAAGGGTCTGTGAGGTGAGAGAGGGGGAGATGGAAGGGGAGTAAGAAGGGGGGGCGAAGGGTAGGGGGAGCGAAAGGGGAGATAGTTGAAGTAACCAGCTTCGGCATACCTGGTGCCGCGATTTTGTCAAACGATTCCAATTCTTTCGCCCACTCACGAACGCGATCCAACAAATCGCTCAAGGAATGTTTCAGCTTGCCGCTCGTCACCAGCTCGTCGTCCGCTGCGATGGTTACAATCCTCCACGAAATCGGCATGCTGTTTCGCCCGGATCCCAGCAGTCGCAGGGGCATCGCCAGCAGCGGAAAAACTTCGTACGTGTCGCCAAGTTCGCGCGCCTGCGACCCAATCTCCAGCGCCTCCAGCGGCACGTTGTCGCACGCCGTTAGAAAGAGCGAATCGCGGAGCTCCTTGACAGAATCACCATCATTCGCATCAGAATCACGCTCGCTAACCCCCGGCTCGTCCTTGCAGCCGCCCGAACCGCCAGAATCACCATCATTCGTATCCCAGCGGGAAAACATCGACATGGATCGCGACGCGAGCACGCACGTCTGCGGCAGGATGCCCAGATTCCACGGCGACGCCTCCAGTAGGAGCGCCGCCGACGACGACGATTGCGACGGCGACGATCGCGACGACCGCGACGACGGCGATGGCGACGACGGCGATCGCGACGATTCGCAATCGGTCTGCACTTTAATACGAGAGCCGTCTAGGCCCAATACGACCGCCTTCCGCTTCTCCCACAGGAAAAGGGAGTCGTCACGGCGCTGGAGTTTTTGGCTCGCGGGCCCGCGATCGGCGGAGGGGGACTTGGCGGCGCGGCAGACGAAGGAGAAAGCGGAGGTGGGGAAGGGGGAAGCGGGGTGGCGCGGGGGGGAGGAGGAGTTGGCGGGAGACGGGGGAGGCGGAGAATCATCGTGATGATGATGATGTCGACGACTATGGTGATGATGATCATCATCTTTATCATCATCATGATGGCGACGACTGTGGTGATGATCATTATCGTCATGATGGTGTTGATGGCGGCGATGGTGATGATGATGATCATCATCATCATCATCATGATGGCGACGACTATGGTGATGGTCATCATCATCATGATGGTGATGATGGCGACGAAGGTGCAGCCGTGCGGAGAATCCGGAGCGGGAATGACTCGTTCTCGTAGGCGCAACGGGGGGGGGAGGCGGAATGAGGAGGATGTCGTGCCAGATGGATGACACGTGGCCGCCGTTGATTAGCGGGAGAATGCTCTTGGGTGATCCGACGGTCCGATTTGGCGCCATGATCAAGTTGTCGTAGTAACTAGTAGGTTTAGAGAGTCAGCAGTGAGCTACCCGTGTGATGCGCGGGTCATGGGGTAGAAATAGCCTAATTGATGCGAAAGGCGTCTAAGGTGCACAGCGGCTGTGAGATATAACTACGTGCATCGTAGCCTTTATTATGTGCTCAGGCTTTTGAGAATGAGAAGGAATATTAGAAGCGTCGAATTGGTTGGACAAATCGCCGGGATGATTCGTACAGAAAATGCAGCGAGCAGCGGTGGTCCCTCCGACTCTCGGAGACATGCATACCGGAAAACGACGGCGTTTACCGTCGAACCTGACATCGATTTCTATCGTTATTCGTTTCCTGTCCATTGAATTCGAACAGTAACACTCGCCGCTCGGTCCGCCCTGGGAAGCAGCCATGCGGAAAACCAGCCGTGCCAATTACAGTACACCCCAAAGTCGGTCCCTGATCGCGGAAACGTACGGCGGGCGCCTGTGCGACTGATCAACTCGTGAAAAAACACGTGCGCTATAGTGCAAGTTTGTTGTCGTGGTGGTCCTAAAGTTTCTTGGGCGAATGCGAGTTCTTAGCAAGATGCATGACTCACTTGCTATGTCCGATCAAGTGTCATCGTCAGTGTTAATTGCTGGGAAGGCGACTCGGGTGCTGTGACTCCCATTCAGTCACAGAATCAGGTGAGTGAGTGATCTCTGGTTTGGGAGTGTAGGTTTCGTGTGGTTCAGATCAGCTTACGTTTAGCACATGCGGTTATATACGATGATGTGCAATCTGAAGTGGTGCATCGTTAAACCAACAGTATCAGCTTGAACATTCATGATGAGCACGAACTATGACCGAACTTTCGAGGAGAATGGGTCCACTGCCAAGAATAGGAGACATTGCATAAAATGACTACTTTATACATCATTTTTACTCATACGCACCAGTCTTGCCTCGTGTAAGGAATTTTCCCGAATTCCTTATCGGGGTTGACTGCTTCGCGTACAACCCGATTTTCAGAGTTCGCACGTTCGGCCGATTTCAACGCTGCCGAGGCTCCTCGCGTCGCCTTCAGCATTTCCATCGCCAAACCTGCACCCAACCTCCCGTGCCCGAGGTTTCCTCCCAGCTGTTGGGAACAAACAATCTTAAGCGCCTCTGTCGTGTCGAAACACCAAGACACAAGCGAAGCAGAGCATATCGAGGCACCAGCAAGTCAACCCTCGGAGGTTGATGCAACCGCTGTGTCAGAACTTATATTTGTAACTGCCTGTAGCTGTAGTTAGTGTAGTTATTATAAACTTTGTTTGGTGGTGCACCTGATTTGTTTCCTTTGCTATATGTTCTTCGAAACCTATAGTGAAACCATCCTTTCCAACTTTCTCGACTCTCACCCTAGGCACAAACTACTCGACATCCTAGTTGGGCCTAGGCTCCTAAGCCTAGGCCCTAGTTAAACTTGATCATTCTCGTTTCAGTTTCGATATGCTATCAGAGCGAGTTACGTCCTGGCCTGTGGGCCCGCCTCATGCTTCCGCTGCTACATTTTTCCGGTCGCGCGCCTAGGGCGCGTGGCGATTTTCTATTGTCCCGCCCCCGGTTGGCGAGTGACTCCTACTCTGCCAGTCGCGCGCCCCGTGGCACGCGACGGTACCCTAAACCTGCCCGTTGTGCGCCCCGTGGCACGCGACGGTGCCCTGCTCGTCGTGCGCCCCGAGGCACACGCCGGTGCCCTTACCTTAAACTTACCCGTCGTGCGCCCCGTGGCACGCGACGGGCCTCTCCGCACCTGCTCTCACTGCAGCCGCCCCTGACCTACCTGCGCCGACACATTGTAGCCGCTCTTCGGCTTTCTTCCCGCCCACCCCCTCCTCCTTTGTCTCCCTGCAGCCGTGGGGGGGAGGGTATGGGGGTGGCGGGTGTTGGAGCGTTGGGTCGTATCCTTCCCTTCCCCTCCTCCTCCTTTCGTTCCCACTGCTGCAGCTGCCGCTGGGGGGGAGGGTGTGAGGGTGTGGGGGAGACGGGGGAGTGGCACCGGGGTGGCGGGTGTGAGGCAACCAGCAGCCGTCCCTCCACCTCTCCTCTCTTCCCCCCCTCTCTGCTGCTCCTGCAGCAGTGTGGGGGAGGGGAAGGAGGAGGGTGAGGAGATGTAGAGGGTGACCAGCTAGTGTTAGCCTGCCTGCAGTACCTGCTGTTGCTTGTTTATTATTTTGCATGTGTACCCCTGCAGGTTGTATTCTGCACAAACTCCTGCTGCAGGCAGTTATGGGGGAGTGTCAGTACTTATATTTGTAACTGCCTGTAGCTGTAGTTAGTGTAGTTATTATAAACTTTGTTTGGTGGTGCACCTTATTTGTTTCCTTTGCTATATGTTCTTCGAAACCTATAGTGAAACCATCCTTTCCAACTTTCTCGACTCTCACCCTAGGCACAAACTACTCGACATCCTAGTTGGGCCTAGGCTCCTAAGCCTAGGCCCTAGTTAAACTTGATCATTCTCGTTTCAGTTTCGATACGCTGGAGGTTACGCGAAAGTCAAAGGTCAGCGACCTTTGACCTGACAAATGCAGCGCGACAGCAAGGACACACAAGTGACTCGACATTGAGCAGTTGCCCGAGTCGCACTGTATCGAACCGCAACAGCAACAGTAAAGTAGTTATAATTATGTCTCTTCATATTCTCTGTATTCATATATATATTCTTGTATCTCTTTGTTTTAAACAACTTACTTTGCCCTCACATACTAGCGCAAGGTGGTTCAAGGACTTTACTTAAAAACGCTTCCGCTACTACATCACTTTACTCAGTCTTTAACCCTACAAAAGATCCTAAAGGGCCACTCAGCCCAACACCAGCTAGGCTAGCCCTACATTAGTCTGCCCATTCAATCTATTCTCAGTTCGTTCAATCACAGTCTCATTATTCGTTTACCTGCGCACTCTTTTTTACAACTCATAACACCTGGTATCAGAGCTACTTTCCTAGTTCACCCCGCTTTTCGAGGGTAGTTTGGTGGCAGGGGTGTGGTTGGTTTAGTGACTACACGACGGTTGGCTGCAAGGATTGTTAACTCAATCCTGCCCGACTCCGATAGTTCGTGTTTTCACTTACCTGGATACCACGGGTACCCACTT